ATGTCGCCTTTGCTCTGAGTGTCACGAGTAGATACCAGTCCAACCCTGGCGAAAGCCATTGGACGGCTGTGAAGAACATCCTTAAATACTTCCGTAGGACTAAGGATGCCTTCCTGGTATATGGCGGAAAAGAAGAGCTCAGTATTGTTGGATATACTGATGCCAGCTTCCAAACTGATAGAGATGACTTCAAGTCGCAGGCAGGGTATGTGTTTTGTTTGAATGGCGGAGCTGTTACCTGGAAGAGTTACAAGCAAGATACTACCGCTGATTCCACTACAGAAGCAGAGTACATGGCTGCAGCCGAGGCAGCCAAGGAAGGTGTGTGGCTCAAGAATTTTATTACTGAGCTTGGAGTGGTTCCTAGCATCAAGAACCCTATACCGTTGTTTTGCGACAACAATGGGGCAATTGCACAAGCGAAAGAACCTCGGTCTCACCAGAAGACCAAACACATCGTTAGACGTTATCACATCATACGAGAAATCGTTGCACGTGGGGACGTTGAGATTTGCAAGATAGGTACAGACGACAATATCGCGGATCCGTTGACGAAGGCTTTGGGAAAGCCTAAACACGAGAGTCATACGTGGTCCATGGGCATTCGAGAAATGCTTCATTGGCCTTAGGGCAAGTGGGAGATTGTTGTATTTAGGTGCCCTAGCGGCAATCAAATACCTATGTAACTGTACACTTTATCATGAATGAAAGGCCTTGAAGTATGTTTTATATCTCGTGTAACATAACATAGCTTCAGTCCATAGACGATAGCGCTTCAGTAACATAGATGAGGACTACGATGTTCTGATTATGAGACTGTTACTTCTCGACGAAGGCTATGTCTAGAATATCCCTAGTCGCACTTTATGATAATACGGACGTCATAACGTATCAAGACTAGTACGTACGAGATGAGATAGTTGCGTCTCATAGACTATAGGTATTGTGATATTTTAATCTGTACGTAGGTGCATATTATATTGATAATATGTGACTGGATTGACCCATCTTGAGAATACTGCATGGATCTACAGTAATATGTTTATCAGTATTCTCAAATCGACCTTGCTATAACTATCCTCAGACTTGAAGTTATTACATTGTCTGATATGTGGGGCCGTATGCTTTGATTCATAACTAATGCTATTTGAAATACTGGTAGACGTACAGTTATACGTTGGGTATGCCGCTAAGCATATTT